GTGTGTGTGTGTGTGTGTGTGTGTGTGTGTGTGTGTGTGTGTGTGTGCCTTGTGGAAGGTCCTGAAGTAGGCAGCCTTCTCGTCCGGGTACTTCTCTAACCGTCGTGGACCTTTACTGGAGGCCTTCTTGAACACCAGCCAACACCTCCGGAAGATCTGACAACAGAGAACGATGGCAGCCCCGTTACTGAAACACAACTCTCCCGGAGCAAAGACATGCACAACACCAAAACACAAACTGACCCCCCCTGCACAGGACAAAACTAAAGAGACGCCTGCTCTACCAAAGCTGAGAGCAGATAAATTAATGCCAGTCACCATCCTAGAATTCAGGCTTACTTTTAATCACTAAAGCCACTTCAGCAAAATGCCAAAACATCAAAGCAATTGAACACTTGACTGTGGAAGTTTTCCCACTGATCTAATCTTAGATTGGCCTTAGGGTTCAGTCATGTTGTTTACATTGGAAAGCACTGTACACGTACAGCAAAGTGATTCTCACCCTCATTACATACTTAATCAAGCTGAATGTCAAGAAGAGAGTAAATGCACCAAACAGAAGTCTTGGGAAAGGAAATGAAATGAAACCATTCTGCCTCATAAATCAAATACATCTGTAAATAAAAAGAAATGTGGAATGTCATCCAAATGTTATGAGCTCATTAATAATGCATTTATACAATACACTGGTCGATGACGGATGATGGTGCATTATCTGAGTTTTGAGACTTGAGTAAATGCTTTTGATTTTGGAAAATAGCAACTCCAAATATACTCTTCTTATGATTGTTTGCATAGGGTTGTAATATGGGCTCATAGGCCGTTCAGATTGCACCTTCAGACGAAATTAAAGAACTTGTTGTTCTCGATCTTCTAACGAATAACTTTGATGAGATGAAGTATTAGGAATAACACATCATTGGTTGTGTGTTGAGTTCTCAGTCTTTTCAAGAAATCAATTTCCAAGACATCTACAGAATATTTGAAGGGGCCAATAAAAGAAGTAGGATACCATAGGGAGGCACTAACTTTGTGCATCTGCTATTTGATTGTTCAACTCAATATTGGATGAGGAAAAAACATTTGGTAGGGGGGAATGTAGGTTAGTAAAAGAAAATCCTTTTATTTATTTTCTTTATTAATTAATGTCCCAAATCCTGGATATATTATTGATTCCCTGATTAATTAATTTCCCAATTTCGAAGTGAAATCCCTGGTTTATTTATTAGCAATAAGACAGAAATGGGCTGTAACTGTAGACATTAAACTGCATTTCAGAATACGTGCATACACTAACAAATACTGTCCCAGAATCAAAATTAGAGCAAGTGTTAGAGCAACACATTTCAAATCCACCAAATAACTCGTATTCCTAAAATGCTTTGAGCAAACTACACTCTGCTTTACAGGCTGAACAGCTGTAGCTTCAACCTGAAGTAATGTGCTTCCATTTATTACAGGCTGTGTGCACAAAATCCGTTTTTCTTTTTTGCCACACATTGTGAATGCACACTCACCCAGACAAAAAGTGTCTCTCTCTCTCTCTCTCTCTCTCTCTCTCTCTCTCTCTCTCTCTCTCTGATTACTAATGCATTGTATTGATTACTGGACCACAATATGGCCTATCCACCAGTTGTAGATGACACAAATACAGGATGTTGTATAATGGAATTCAGGTCAAATCATGAAAAAGTACACACGTGAACACACAAAATCACTATATGTATGTGTACATCTGTCATTTTACCTGCAATCACGTAGCAGTCTTTAGCAAACCATGTAATCATCATTCATGAGCTATAGGAACTGCCCTGTTCATTATACATCTTTAGCTAATACAATGGGCAGCTTTTTAACGGTTGAAGGGAATTTCCTTAACTCCTAAAGAAACACTTCTTCCCTCAGTTTATATGACATATTCTAGACTGCTACATTTGTCGATACATGGTTTACTTTGGATTGCAACATCCCTGAGGATCCATAAAAAAGAGCTGTTGATATCAGTCCACTGCATTACCTCACAGCAGCACTTTGGAATTCCAAAACATAACCTTTCTCTTTACACAACCAGTGTTGAAGGTGTAAAAAGCAAAAAACATATACAACAGTGCAGCTGAGAGACAGACTAAGTGTGATGGCCAATACCTTATGAGTCCTATGTGCTTGCCTATCTTTAATAGTGAGACCCTTCTATTTCCTGGTGCAGACAGCCGCTATCACTCTGCCTGATGTATGATTGCCCTGGGCCGCATGGATGTACGATTAATTTGTTTACTCAGCCGGTGTACTTCATAAAAGGCCCACTGAGTTGAACTTGGCACTTTGCAGTAATTGACTAGAGTGGATACCTAGGTCCTTATCGGTCTGCCTTGATGGGCCTCCATTCTAGTTAAGTATTGCCTCGGCCCATTATAAACAGCAAACAACACAAAATACAGCAGTGCACAACACACACCCTTATGCATGGTGGATCATTCTCCACCCCCACTCTACATAAAAGGCTTTAAAGTAAGGAAACAAAGGGCAATCAAATCTTACTCAAAATTGAAGATTCTGTATTTATGTCTTTAAAAAAACGCCTATTAAAACAAAAGAAAACTGCAGCTTTGACAGAAAAACAAGAAACAATGTGAAACCCTTTTGACAATGGCCATTGCCACATTTGCAACTTTTACACAGTAAAATTAAAGCTAGCCTCAATTCCCCTTTGGGAACTTGAGTCAAAGCAATGCTGCCTGCTTGCCTTGCCGCACACAAAGCAATTCACCCATAGGAGTGCTCAGATTATGTAATTATACCAGCACAAAAGCAAGCTCAGTGAGATAGCTTATGCATAATAAGAACTAGGGTGTATGAATGGAGTGGGCTAAATTTTGCCTGTTCCACAGTTGTCGATGCTTTGTCAAGGCAGTCCTGTTCTTTGGCTGCTGGTGGATCTTATTCAGAGACACTCTAACATTTATTGTAATTACACAGACGTGAATGGGACTCTCTGCTAGTTTGGTGCAACTCATTTAATTCCAGAACAGTGTGGAATACATTGGTTTTCAGTGAAAGCCAACCCACCGGTTCCAGAAAAACACAAAGTAATGAAGAAGAAAAGGAGAGTTCTGATGAAAATTCTGGTGTTATACCTTTGGTTTCTCTTTGTGTCACGGAGAGAAATTGCCATACTTTAGCTATTCTTTTCAGATTATAAAAAGAGCCGATCTGGTGACATCCCTTCTGTGAGTTTTGAGGTGTAGTTCTGAGTCAAACATAGTACCAAGGACCCTTTTACGAGGGGAAAGTATGTCTCTGTCCAGTTCTGCTCTCTCAACCTAGGAGCCTATAACTAATAGTTTCCTTTTATCCAATAAATGGGCTGTGAAGGTTTTGCAACATCCAGACACTAAAATACATCTACAAAGAGCATCAATTGGTCTTGTGTTCTCAGGAGATATAGCCACATAAAGCAGTGTATCATCAGCATATGGGAAGAGATGCAATGTCTCAACTTGGGGGTAAATCCATAGATTAAAAAGTACTGGTCCCTATATAGATTCTTGAGGAACCCCATTAGTGATTTTTGAGTGTTTGGAAAAATAATCATCTTTTGAAAAAAATACAATTACTTCTCTGCTAGAAAGATACGTTGGAGACATTACAACTCAGTCTTAAGTAGTGTAGTTAAAATAATTTAATGATCAAGTATTTCAAGAGCAGAGTTCAGATCAAGTACACAAGCTCCTCCATCTTGCATGGACAACATTAATTAACCCGGAGTCCCAATGACTTCACTGATATTTGAAGTTGGAGAATACACCAAATTCTGAATGAATTCACTTGAACAGATTAGAGTAAGCAACAGGTCCAATCGCCTTCTGTTCGTTATGTTTTCTACATGGAATAACAGAAGCAGTTTCTCAACAGGGGGACCTCTTAAAGACTAAATGTGAACTCTGGACTCTGTGCCTTTCCCGTATAGGCCTGATCGGCAGGTCTCACTCTCAAAGTCTGATTAATGAGGGAGAGGCTCATTAAAAGTCAGAGAAGGCTGCCTCGTCTGCAAACAGACGTATAAACCTCACTCAACATCTACCTGCTTAGAAACGCACACACACACACAATTACTACCATCTCAGCACTTCTCCACAATGATGATTAAAATAAAGCCTCTGTACGCAAGTCTTTTGAAGACAAATTACTAATCATTATTATTCATGTCATCCACTGGTCAAAATGGTGCTTTCAGTGAACAGCAAAATTCAGCAGGCCACGAGGATCACAAAAGAAGAAGTATATTTATTGTGCATTCATTATAATTCTGAGAGGTGGGATCAACCCACAGGGCCACTGGAATCCAAACGAGATTGGGTCATTAAAATTTAACACTTCATTAACACAATCTTCGAATGATTTATGAAAGAAAATTATTTTTCCAACACAAGTTCCCCACGATTGTGTGTGTGTGTGTGTCTCTGTCCTCTTCATTAATAAGCAAACAGACCAGAAACAGAAATGAATGCGAGGAAAACAAATGAAAATCCTTCCCTTTACGGTACAACATGGCCTACATGTTTGCGTGTACGTTTCCATCTGATTAATGTAGCAATACAACATCACTATGAACTTAATGTTAAAATCTTGCATTAAACCAAGAATGACTACTTAGCAGTGATGACAAACTAATCTTTGGGTCAAACATGAGATTTGTTCAACTGATTGGACATAATTTTCTGAATCATGACAGTGCAGTTCCAATGCATGTTGCACATCATATACAGTATGTGATGTTTTGTTTAACCATGGCAATTTTAGAAAGTGTCACATAAAACTGTAGTTGTATTATCAACAAGGACAACCAAGTGTGACAGGAAGATCAACATCTTTCAAAAGCAGATTATGGCGAGCATCTCCAGCTACAATGATGTACAGTGTAGTAACGGTATAGGTGTCTGTCTTTACAATACTCTAAGGAACCATACGAATGAGCAAGCCAAATATATATGTACAAATATTATTTAAAAAAATATTACAAATGCATGAGTGGCCAGAAAGAAGCCTCTTCTGATAAACGGCACATGATAACATGCCAAGAGTTTGCAAATAAGGCAGATGAAACGAGGCCGCACTCTTTGGTTCAAATGCAAAACTCTGTGCTGGGGACAAAATTT